GCTTTGGGCTTCCGTAGTTTCTGCCTGTTTTCAGTCTTTATTCGAAGATAAGTTAACCGGCAGCTGGCTATAGCTTAACATTTAGATAGATAAAATCAAACTATTCCTTTATATATATATATATATTATTATTTTTTAAATGTGTTAGTCTAGGGCTGGTCTACTTGACGTTTTTTTAGTGTCCGCACACTTACACATAAGCTCATTGATGATAATATTATTCAGTTATTTGAGATAACTTGTGTGAACCTGTTCAGTCATGACTCAGGTGGGTTGTTTAATTTGAACCTGTCTGCTCTCCCTCTATGTGTCTCTGCATGTTTCTCTCAGGTGAGACTATAAAAATAGTGATAGAGGAGTATGTGCAGCACCTCAGTGGATACCTGCTGCAGTTGAAGTTTGATCCCACCCTGCTGTATAACTCCCAATTCCAGTATTCGAACCGTATCTCTCTGGAGTTCAGCCAGCTCTACCACTGGCACCCCTTGATGCCTGACAGCTTCCATATTAATGGAGATGAACTGTCATACACACAGTTCATCTTCAACACTTCTGTTCTCACACGATACGGCATTGAGAAGCTGGTGGATGCCTTCTCTCGGCAACCTGCTGGCCAGGTAACAAACAAGACAATGTAACATAATAAATATGCAAAGAATCATCAATTCCATTGTTTTTTGAAAACTGACTCTTTGTTAGTTATAACTATGGCATATAATGTACTGTATTGCTTGCTATAGATATGCATGTAAAGTTTTCTTCTTTCTTATTGTGTTCCTGTTTTGCTGGGTGTATATCCTGCTGATAACTGAGGGTCACTAATGTGTTTGTACTGTTGTATGATTAACTGAAGTTGGTGGGGATTGTTATCACAAAGTTGACCTTTTAATAAAGGGAAGACTATAGCAGTCAAAGCTACAAAAATGATTTTTACGCTAACCAGAAACAAATAATAATATTGTTTTTGGGTTCCCTTTTTGCCACATACATACATTTATGTACTGGCTGGAAAAAGAATGAATGTTTAATAGTTACTGTCTTTACATGGATCATTGCATTTACTACCCTACATCAGTGTACACTCTTGAAACTTCACATGTAAGCATATACAACCCAGCAGCACATCCACATGACCAAAGTGCTTTATGATAATAAAATGCTTTAAGGATAATTCAACACTGTGATGTGGAACGAAAATACATACCATAATACATAACAAATTGAATTTAGCGTAATTTAGCTAAACTGATTCTAATAGTGTGTGATGGGCAACCAGAAAATAACAGGGCATGGGCAATGTATTAAATCTGATGGATGTTTCATATTGAACATTTAAATATTCCCCTGGAATTAAAATCAGTCTAAATAAACAAAATATCATATTCAAGATTTCTTATTTTAAATGATTCATTTAATTCTCAAACCTTTGTCCTACAGATTGGTGGTGGCCATAACATCAATGCTGTGGTGACCAAAGTGGCTGTGAGCACCATCAAGGAGTCCCGCCAACTCCGCTTGCAGCCCTTCAACGAGTACAGGAAGCGCTTTAACCTTAAGCCATACACATCGTTCAGACAGTTCACTAGTAAGAAAAACTTGTTCTGTGTACAGACCACACAACACGAAGTGCAACCTTCAAACCATGTGATTTACGACTTTTACAAGTCCATAAGAGCAGCTGAACATACATTCTTGGAGGCTGATGGGAATTAGTTTTGCAGCTCTTTGGTCATAAACCAAACTATTGGACAAATAGCCATTTTTTAACGTAATGATGGCTCACGTGGAAAAGTCAGGAAGTCACCAAAGTTATTATAATTCTCATAAATGATCAGCTGAATTTTTATTAACTGCAATTCTTGTGGTTACCATTTTCAGGTAACGAGGAGATAGCCCGCGAGCTTGAAGAGTTCTACGGTGACATTGATGCTGTTGAATTTTATCCTGGTTTGATGTTGGAGGAAACACGACCGGGGTCCATATTTGGAGAGAGCATGGTGGAGATGGGTGCCCCCTTCTCCCTTAAAGGCCTCATGGGAAACCCTATATGTTCTCCAGATTACTGGAAGCCCAGCACCTTTGGAGGCAAAGTCGGCTTTGACATAGTGAACTCTGCCACACTGAAGAAGCTGGTCTGTCTGAACACCAGGACGTGTCCTTACGTGGCGTTTAAAGTACCAACAGAGGAGCGATCGCAAAGAGGGAATGTTGACAGTAAAGTAAAGACTGATGAGCTATGACCCTTTGCAAACACTGGGAGTTTATGGTTTGAGATCCCTATATGAAGGTAAAAGAGGTGGCTGCTAAAAAAAACAAACAACAAAAGTGTTGTGATGTTTGTGTGGAGAACATACAGTAATGCTTGTTTAAAGAGCACTGGAAAGTCACACAGGCTCAAAACATTGAAGGCTTAAACGTGTGATTTTTGTTAAATGCTTTGTGCCTAAAGAATGAAATACCATCAAAATACATGTTCACACTCTCCAGTAATAAAAGTATACTGTCTGTAGCTTTATTTTAAAAGAAATGATGACGATGCAAATAACCATTCATTGAAATAAAATTTTAGACACAACATGGATTATTGTCAAATCATTTAAATTTCCAGTAATTAAAATAATGTTTTTGACTACCCATTGTTCTCTCGTGATTGTCTATGCCCACTTCCCCTCACACGCACTGCTCATCGTCTACCCAATCCAGTGTTTCTTTTGGCTTGAGACTGTGTAGTGATTCAGTGGAAGTTAGCAGGATGTACAGCATGGTTCAAAAACACATTAACCAAAGCATGATTACCTCCTAGAACATTTAGGTATATTTGGATATGTATGAGATTATTCATGTCAGTTATGTCAGAATTCACATTTTGACTAGATTTGGCCTTAAATGTGTGCTAACTGTCTGTAGTGATTTGCCTTAACAAAAGGGAGAGTGAACCAATATTCAATTATTGGTATGACGTTTTGTGAGAAGTTTACTGTCTTTCCCAGAGTCAAAAACTAATAAATGCCTTAAGACAGACCTTATTATGTATTTTGTGTAGTCTGAAGTTGTGTTGTTGAGTGTCTTATGGGATCAAATTACAATCATAACATGATAATGTTCCCACAGGTATCCAGGAATTGAGCGAAACTAAGCAAGTAAATTAAGGGGGCTTTTAAGGGGCGCCTTTTTCCATGCTTTGTCTGAGAGGAGGCCCACAGTCTCAGACATAAGAAAGAAAACCTGCTGTATGTAGTATGTGTCATGTACAATAGTCATATTGCCCTCTAGTTGTGAAGGTAGGAACTATTGTCTGATTATAACGCTTCCAGCATCTTCCCACATTTTCCACGTCAGTTGGATGAACCATGGTATCGTTTTGACTTTATGAGCCCTCAGTAAAGTCCACATTTACAGTAAGATCATTTCAGAACATCAGACAAAAAACTTTGAAATACAAATTTCGATGTCAATAACGCCAGAATGAACTATGTAACTATGTAAAATAATTTTGAGTGACTGTGGTGTGGAGTTATTCAGTAGTAGTACATTTGGGGCAATATTTGTGTTTACAATGTTGCAACATATTGACGCATATCCCAGAATGCATCACAGTATGTACACTATATTCCATAATTACAACATCTCCGTGGACCTTGAAGGCATCACACTCCGGGGGCGTGGCCTGTGGAAGCTAAACTAGCAGATTAGCCTAAAGTGAGCGAGGGAGCTGGTGATCACTTACTACCGTTAGCTGGTCACATAATCAAGGTAAGAGTAAAATTATTTATAAGTAATGGATATTTCTTATGCTTTTTTATAGCTGTAAATTTTACATTTTCTCGGTTTGTGGCTAACTAATGTTTACCTTACTGATTGTCACAGGAAATCAGTGTAAGAAAAGCTAGCTCAGTTGGCTAGTGCTAACCCAGCTAGCTCACTTTCACAAACGCTAGCATTTCCTACTGGTTCGCCCCGTGCCCTACTTAATAAACAAGCTAATTGGATTGTCCTTATCCTCCCTCCAGTAGCGTGTAACGTGAGATACTTAGGAAGTAACAATACCGGTTGACACGATGAGTAACATT